TATTTTATATGACGTAATTCTGACTATATTATTACATGAAGTATCAAGTTGCTGAATTAATACATTTCTAGAGGTAAAAAACACTTGATATATTTTTAATTTCAATCGAATCTCACTTTTTTCCGAACTGTATGTTAAAAATAAGTACACGCAACGCAACTATCTCATGGACTTTGTGGTGTATATAACCTTCCATACAATATAATATATGAATAGTCATTTGTTAAAAGGGACCTTAGCAAATTTTTACTCAATAAGTTTTATGTTTGAGCATTTTATAATATAAACACGTTTTCTTTCAAATGTCATTTTAAAAGTGGTATTTATGTGTATAAAATAATTTTTAAATACACATAATATGCGAAAAAAATAGTTTTTGTCTATGCTGAAAAATTAATCAGAGTGGACATATATCGCTTGTAACAAATGAATTTTCATTTAATTTGTTCTTACACTACCAATTTTTACTAATATTTTTTATAAAAAGGTTAGATCTCAATATATCCTGTGCAAAAGAAGACGAGAGCCCATTCTTAGTTACCCAGATTCTATGAAGTACGCCCTACAAGATGGACCGCAGTTCTTGAAATTTTTAGTCCCATTCTCTGCGTTGGTGATATTTATTTCATCTTAAATAATACATAAATAATAAGGTTCAATGAAAAAATAGTTATATTCAAGTTGTACTGTGACGTTTAAGTTATTCTTGATATTAGTACTCCTTAGACACGTAAAATAATAATATAAATTGTATACGAGTCTAATGACTGTGGTAACGTATACTTCCTATAGAGTTGTGCTTTATGATCATTATTACGACCTTGCTGTTACCACATACAATTTATGTCACACTTACATTACAAGTTGAACCTATCTAAATTATTATTGTCCCCTACATTAAAGCTAATCGTCGATTTTTTGAATTTATTACAGAATTATTGTCGATGGATTCTTGATCGTTTATCAGCTTGGAATATGTTGTGTGTACATAATGTTTATTGGAAACAGTTTAAAACAGGTAAAACAAATTGATAACTTAGATCATAGTTCTTGTTAAAAAAAAAAAAGTTGTAAAAAAGGATTCTATTAGTAAAGTTTTCAATTGTATTAAAAAAAAAAAAAAAATGTACAAAACTCATGAATTCAGACGTGTTGTTGCAAAATAATAATAATTAATAACTGAATATAGGTAGTAAATGTATATTTGCCGGAGTCAAATCAAATAAGTGAACGGTATTATATGCTTATGATACTAATTCCTCTTGTCTGCATTATGCTAATCAGAAACTTGAAATTGTTAGCACCATTTTCACAACTTGCCAACATTATCACTTTTATTGGTCTTGGGATCGTTCTTATATATGTATTCACGGATTTACCACCGATTTCGTCCAGACCATTGATTGGCGAACCCAGAACATATACATTATTTATAGGAACAACACTGTTTGCGTTGGAAGCTGTTGGCGTGGTAAATACACCTTGATTATGTAAAACTAAGTAGGTAGATGGATAGTTGACCGTAGGCTGGTAAAATTAAATGAAAGTTTTTTCTAAATGCGAAATTTTTAAGTCTAAGATATTTGTACGATAAATTCTATTACATTTTATTTAGGTAAATGACTTTTAATTATAAAAAAATGTACACTCAAATCAACTATATAAAATATTATACATAGTCCATGAAGGTTGAATGATCTCTTTATTACCATGATTTCACCTAGAAATAAAAATACTTTTAAGACAAATTAGTTTTTTTGAAAAAAAAATTGCGGTCTTTAACTTAAATGACAAGTTTAAATTTTCAGTTTTTGGCGTTAGAAAACAACATGAGAACACCTGCATCTTTTGGGGGCGTATTAAATATAGGCATGACAATTGTTACACTTATGTATGTATTCATGGGCTTTTTTGGCTATGTCAAATATGGAAGTGCTGCTGAAGGAAGCATCACTCTTAATTTGCCTGCAGAAGCTTGGTAAAACTAACTATAATTTTTTTTAATTTTATAAATGTATTCTATCGTGTTTCGTAATATTATGTAAAAAAATGCTTCGTATTGAAATAACTCAATTTTTTTTATTCTATAATAAGTTAATGTAACTAATATAATTAATCTTACATTAATTTCTCGGAACATGATGATTACACAGGATGAATGATTTATCGCTGACCACTAGATATTTTCCAGATAATAATTTTGAGAATTTTTTTGTTTTGTTTATTTAAGTAGTATTTATTTTTCGAATTTTAAATGGTCAAATACCTTTTTTGTTAGTCTGTGATCTATTATATGGGTATCAACTTAATTTTTTTTAATTGCAACATACATATTTAACGAGTTTATATAATATAGAATGATTCGACTTAGAAAAATAATGGTCGATAACGACTTTTGAACTAGTAATTTAGAAGTTATAAATATTTTTATGTCTAGATAGGAGGAGTAGCGCGGGCTATAATTACATGCATAGTAAAAAAAATAATATAATCAGTGCTTCATCACCAGTCTACATTTAAAAATGGTAATAACTTCCGGATAAATGGTTCTAAATTTGTTATGGGACAGTCATTTTTTTAGTTGAATAATTTTCTTTCGTATTAATTAGTTGAATATGTAAGTTAAGGATAAGGGATTGACCTTAAAAATACTTAATATATATATATATAAATAATTAATACTAAAGAAAATCATAAAAAAGGTTTTCAAAATTATTATTATTTTAAGAGATACTTACAGTTTTTAGTGATCAAAGATAGATCAATTATCTGTATTATGTATAATTATTATATTACATTTTTTTTCATTAGGTTAGCGCAAACCGTTAAACTAATTTTTGCTGTGGCTATCTTTATAACGTATGCACTTCAAGCTTATGTTCCTGTTGAAATATTATGGAACACGTACATGAAACAGAGGATTGAAAATGTGAATAAACAAAAAATGGAATACCTTTTAAGAATAGGAGTAGTTCTTGTCACATGTATGTATTTTTTAGCACCACGTTTACTAATAGTTTTTGAACTGCATTATCATTACATACATTACTGTATTTTTAAATCTAAAACATTCCTAAACAAATTAAATATTTGTAAACCTAATATAATATTATCCTTGTTGCTGTAATAAAATATCTAAAATGTCTTTGATGTTTTTACAGTCGTTTTAGCTGTTGCCATTCCACTATTAGATTTATTCATTTCGCTATTTGGTGCCTTATGTTTATCTGTGCTCGGTATCGCATTTCCGGCACTCATTGAAATATGTGTTTTATGGTCCAGTAAAAATTTTGGACCATACAATTATGTACTGGTGAAAGACATTTTATTGATCGTCATTGGTATTATTGCGATGGTACTCGGTACATACATCAGTGTAATAGATATTTATCGGAAAATCAATTAAGTAAAACTGTAAAATTTTGTATTAAATAATTTTTGTTGAACATTCAAGTACATTATGTTAATGGATCTAAAATATTGTTTTATAAAAATTTTGTAACGACCATAAGAATTTTCATATATTGCTTAAAAAATTAATTGTAGACAGGGTTGTAGTATTTAGATCCATAATAAGTGTTAGCATTAGTATTACTTAGCAGGGATAAAAATTGAAATAATTTCGGTTTTGGCAATTTTTCTTATATATCGTAAACTAGTTAGATGAACTAGTTATTAGATATAGATGATATCTAATTTTTTTTTTAGTACACGTTGAAAAATTATTACAGAAACCTAAAATATTACGAGAATATTAAAATTATTATTCCTATGAGACCGTATTTGAAACTTTAATTGAACAACATTTGATTTTAAAAGTTTTGATAAACCAAAAATAACTGAAAAAAGGTATCAGTTAATTTTGGTTTGAAATATTACAAGGTCAAATTAAAGTTTCGTTAACTTTTAATAGCGGTTTTATAATACTTTTAGTTTCTACAATTATTAACCTTACAAATTAAAAAAGAAATTCGATATAATTCAACTATTTACTAGACATGATAAAAATTTTCGAAAATCGAAATCCTGTTGGTTCCTATCCCTGCTACTAAGTACACCTGTTATTGATGTTTATTATTATTAATATTGTATCTCAAAGAATAATTTAAGTTTATTTAAAATTAGTTCAAGTTTTAAATTGACTTGAGTATGTTTAAAATAATATAATTGGTTTAACCTTACAATTTAACTTTCAAGAAAATTTAACAAATATACTGTATAACAACTTTTTTTTTAATTACTCGATGTTAATTACTTTGTTTTAAATCCATTCTTATTATTATTCAATTAATTTCATATATTAATTAAATTAAATGGAATATTTAGATAATATAAACAGAAAATATAATCTTCTTTTTTATTTGTACAAGTTATAATTTATTCTTTATCAGTTTTTTGTGAGAAAACAAATTTTTATTGAATTAGTAATTATTTTTTATTAATTCAGTATTTTAAAAAGACTTACGTTATACCACATGTTAAATGTAATGATAGCAAGTAGTCCATGTGATAAAGTTATTATAATGTAATATTTTAAGTCTCCTATTTATAATTTATAAAATTATATATAGAAGAAATATTTTTTCTTGTGAAGTGTAAAGGTAACGATAATTGTTTTAAATTCATAAATGGTTATGGTGCAATAACATTTACGATCTAACTGCCTTCTTCAATAAATGTTCACTCGATTATTAACTCGATAAAATTGTATTGCCTTAATGCTTAATTTTATACAATTTGTACATCTTATGAATTATTTGCTTTAATATGATTCTATTATATTAGTGTAAAATTTTCTTTACTTTTAAAAAATTTAGTGAATATTTTTGTAAAAGAATAAGAATTGTACGATCAAACAATTAATATTGGCACAATTTTATTTTAAATCTATTAAATTAAAATAAAATAAAAGAAATTTTTGGCATTTACAGGTTGTTTTATATATTTTCCTTTAGTTATTATAGTTTTAATTTTTAGATAAATAAATCGACTAACAGAACTTAGAATTATTCAATTTTAGTTTTGTTTAAAAATATTATTGATGGCATTGTGAGTCTACTTAAAGAAATTCAATTTAGCTAACTTATTTATAACTCCTTCTGCTTATTTAGATTCAAATGAAACCTATTTTACATATAGATCTAGATAGAACATATAGATTATTTTAACAATTAAAGGAATAAGGAAAATACTAAAAAAATCCATACACAGTAGGGTCGCGGTAAAATGGGGACGTGGCATAGATGAGTCCAGTATAAATTTGACAGTGATTAAAATCACTATCATAAAAAACGCTTCGATGCAAGTCTGTAGATAGTGTTTAATTTTAAAAAAATGATGGATAATTCCAAAAGCTACATGATCTCCTATTTCCTTATTTATATTTTGATACAAGTCTTATGATTTATTAGTGTAATATATGTATATATATATTAGGGTGGTCCTTAATGTATAGATGCGGAATTTTTTTTTTCAAAATTTGATCGGGCTACCCCCGGAATTGTTCAAAACTATAAAAAAATAATTTGTGTCAAATTTCACTAATTTTGGTCAACCCTAAGCTGTGCCTCAAGAGGGTTGAAAATTTAATCATGAGGGTAGTTTTTCAATAATTGTAGTTTACTTCAAAATTTATGATTTTTACATAAAAGTTTATAAGAAAAAAATCGTAGATATGAATATTTTACATAAAAAAGTTATTACTAAATAAGTCAAATATTTACCTCGCAAAAGTTAAAATTTCAACCAAATATATGTTAAAGAGTAAAATTCTGAAATTTTCACAATTTTAATATATACGATGAAGCGTTTGCGTTATAAAAAAAATGCTTGAGTAAAAGTTGTTTTAAATTAAATATTTCATATTTTTTGTAAAAAAAAAACAGTTATGAATATTTAATTTATAAGTATAAGTTAAACTTAAACTTAAATAATAAGTTTCGTTCTAAAATAATTGTAAAAAGACAACGAATCTTTTTAATCTTTTAAATAATTATAAATAATGCAATATAAAATTTACACATTATAAATGATTACAATATTTTACAATATCCAAATTCATGTATAAATTATAGTAATATAAATAAAAAATTAATAAATAATAAAAATAATNAAATAAAAAATGAATAAATAATAAAAATAATTTATCCCATTAGTGTAGCTTTTTTACTGTTAGGGAATTGCTTTTGATATCGTGTTACAACTTGTAATATGTACTGTTTTTGTCCCTCGTTTTTAGATCCTATCTTATTAAAATCCTCCATTAATTTTACCGCACGCTCTGCAGTATCATTCACTACTTTTAAATTATTGATAATTTATTGACCTTTGCAATAACTTGAATTTTTTTCCCATATAGATGGGTCTGTTTCCATAAAACTATAATCAAAATTAAATCGATCAAAAAAATTTAAAGTTTTATTTGTCACAAAATCTTCTATTTTTTTATTTTTTATAAAGTTTGATACTTCATTGAAGTCCAAATATATGCGTTTATTTTTTATGACATAATATTCTTCCCCATCGAAATTTTCAGTATCAATTCTTTTAATGTTAAATGCCATTTTAGTTTTTGTCTCGTGTGGAATATGTTTATCGAAAAATGCTAAAGCAATGTTGTCTGAAGTTAAATACCATAAATGGTTAACAAATTTTTTCAAATTATTTTTAGGTAATTCTTCATCTATGGTTTTGTATTGGAAAATATTTTTTAAAAATTCTAAATCTTGTCGAGGCGAAAAAGCAGCAATTGGTGCATTAAACCAAACTTTGGTGTATAAATTAACCAAGAAAATGCATATACTCGAGATTGAATTATATTCTTTTTGTGTCAACTTGAGTTCTTCACGAAAAATAAATATTTTAAGAGTATAATGCGCTTTTGACATCCATCGAGCATGGTGAATCGCTCCTGGAGCTCTAAATAATACACCTCTAGGCGGAACTTCATTTAAAAAAATTACTGTTAGCTCAAGAAATTCTCTATAATCTTCTCTAAAGTGGGATAGTTTTAATTGATTTAAACAAAACTCTAAAATATGATCAATAGAACTTTGCAATTTTTCAAAAATAAATCGATCGTCGATACCGGACTTCTAATTTTCAGTACTAATTTTTGGCCAAGACTTTTGAAAACGAAGAAATAAGGGGACATTCGGTCCTGAAGTTATACCAAATTTTGTGTCAAATGTACATTTTAAAATAATCTCGTAAATATGATGATGACACGGAAAGTATACAATGTTTTTTTCTAACCATTGTTCTAATAAAACACACGTACCTCCAATCCTGCCTAAACGATAATTAATATTACTATTTATATTTTCAATTAAATTTTGAAGGATACAAAATTATAAATAACAGTTAATATAGTTTTAAGTAAAAGTAACAACACGAAAAACGGTGATTTTTTAAATAAAAATAATAATTTTCGTTTAACTTCGACTTAATAAAATAGATAATAATAAACAATTGTTTTATTTACCTGTGTTAGTGGCTGTAGTATTAAAACACATAGCTTTTACGTGGTTTGTTAAACCCCAATCGACCAACGTTTGATATATAGCCTCAGCCTGTGATTTAGAAGTTCCGTTTAACATCTTTGGTACTGCTAATAGTTGGTCATTTCCATTATTTGAAATAATTATAGGTAGTCTATCAACTAATTGTTTACTACATAAATCAGGTAATAATTTGCCGTCCCAATGTAAAACTAAGGCATTGAGATTAGTCACAGAAAATTTGTCGCGAATTTCTGTAGCTAAATTCCAAACGTATTTTTTCACGATGTCGTTTAATTGATGACCTATTAACTATGATATCATTGACATCATGCCCTCTAATGATTCAGCCACTGCAATTATAATATGCACTGCATCTCGGTCGCTTATTTTGCACCTATCTAATGCTGAAGATAACTTTACAGTCATTATGTCTATTGTACCTCTTTGTTTTATAGAGTTTGATATTGGCAAAACATTAGTTTTATTAGACGGAACCGGTGAAAAATTAATATCTTCTAAATTTAATATTTGATCTTTAGTTTTTTTAACATTGCCATCAAACAAATTACTGAAGTCATCATTGTTTACAACTATAAAACAATATAAATTAATGAATATAATGATGTATAAATCGTTGTAGATAATTTATAGATCGTAATATTTTAATCTAACTCACAATCATCAGGCAAACTTTCTTCTGTGTCGTCGCTTGTAGAACAGAATTCCACAGTTTTAGCTAAAATTTAAATAAAAATTGCATATGACTGAACAATACTATACTATTCATTGTTTATTTATAACTCAAAATACTTACTAGTTAATTTGAATTCATCTTCATTAAGTTTTCTTTTTTTCTCAAATTCTTTTAATTTTTTAAATTGCTTAAATTCTTTTTTTTGTTAAGTTACATCAACGCCAATAAGTGATTCTGGACGACCTTTTTGTTTTTGACTTATTAAAAACTGCTTGTCTATATCAATAGTCATCATGTCTAATGCATCTGCATGAGCAATATCAAATAGCTCATCAAAACATTGTACAAATTTATTTTCTTTATCTATCTGAGTATTTGTACGCCGACTTGAATATTTTTGCAAATTACGCCATGTATTGTACAATTCCTTTATTTTTGGTAAACAATTACGAACTTCTTTAGTAGGTATTCGAGCTTTTTGCCAGAATATCAATGTTTCATCGATCACTAAACGCGCACTATCACGAACACTCAATTTAACTTCTCGAATATTAAAAAATAATACCGATAAAACTTGTTTATTTGATGGTAATTTACATCCAACGAGTTGATGTGAACTATTACCAATTAAATAAATACTTTTTCGTAAATTTCTTTTAGTCTCCATTAAATAAAAAAGTAATAATTGAGTTTAAAAAATCATAAAATACACAGACTACAGATTATCTCGATGAAACCTCAATGTTAAACTTAACGTTTATTATTGATGTAAAGATATGAACTAAAATGCTGTAGTTTATGATATCGCATGTAATCAACACAGTTAATAATAATAGGTATTTTTAAGTAGGTAATGTCCAATCTGACCATACTATTTCGATACTATTTATACCTTGTAGAAATCAACAAACAAAAATAATCTATTAGTTTGTCAATATAAACGTATGATACTATAATAAAAAACTCTAGAAATGAATTTTTGTTATTTTGTGATTGAATGAGCCGTTTTGTGGAAAAAGTACTAAAGACAAATATTATTGAAAATTTGATTCAAAAAATATTTTATCATTAGATATATTTTCCTATCGTTAATACTTTAGGATATAATCGCAAAAAACTACGCAAAAATAAATATATAATTTTCATTTTGTTACCAAATTTCATTAAATATTGATTATTACTTTATAATAAAGATCTTTAAATTAAATAATATATCTATACATATATATATATTTAATTTTTTATTACTTTATAGATTTCTTTTCTACATTAATTATGATGTATTATAATATAATAAACAAAATATTATTTGTATAATATAAAAATAAAAACATATTTGTTCTTATTAAATATATTTTAGCAAAATGTTATCTTATCGCTATTTATTTAAATAATTACAAATTTCAAATAAGTTCAAAAATACATTAAAAAATTAAATTGAATTATATAATTGAAAAAGAACAATTAAAACTATTTATAGCACAAAAAACCTTTAAATAAAAAAATATATGCACCGTGTAATCATTGAACATCCAATGACAAAAATATTCATTAGATCTTAAATAAAAAAAAATTCAAAAAAACAATTTTTATGATTAGAACAACATAAAAAATATAATAGAAAAAATAATGTACAAAATGAATGATAGAAACGAAATTATTCATTAAATTGAAAATTCTTGAACGAAAGTTCACAAAAATTATTACCAACTTGAAACCAAGTTAAATAAAT